CTGGGGTGGCACTACAGCCAGCACTAAGGCTAGGTTCACACACCTATGCAGTTTGCGTTTGATCCTTTACGCAGTTGGAAAATAGTTGGTAAAATCCTGGTGGTACATACCAAAAACTGAACAATTTAGCATATTTATCCACCTTTTGAAACAAAGGGGCTAAGGCTTATAAAATGCCATCAGCCTAAACGTTTGAAGGTATTACATAACTGTTCTTTCAAAGTGCACCTGTTCTGGCTAAAAGATAGGGTCGGTCATTTTTGGCCTTGTCTGAATTTACTAGTTACCTTGCAGAGTCTGACTTGAATACTGACTCAAAACAATAAAGCAGCAAGTGTCAGTGTTTCATATTTCTATACTTGATTCGGAATATTCAGCCCAAGGATCATCCTGACACAAGTTTTCATAAGTGAACAAAAGCATAGTATATACAGTAGGGCAAAAAAGTATTTAGTCAGACACCAATTGTGCAAGTTCTCCCATTTAAAAAGATGAGAGAGGCCTGTAATTGGCATCATAGGTAGACCTCAACTATGAGAGACAAAATGAGAAAAAAAATCCAGACAATCACATTGGCTGATTTGGAAAGAATTTATTTGCAAATTATGGTGGAAAAAGTATTTGGTCAATATGAAAAGTTCATCTCAATACTTTGTTATATATCCTTTGTTGGCAATGACAGAGGTCAAACGTTCCATTAAATCTTCACAATGTTGGCACACACTGTTGCTGATATGTTGGCCCATTCCTCCATGCAGATCTCCTCTAGAGCAGTGTTGTTTTGGGGCTGTCGCTGGGCAACATGGACTTTCAACTCCCTCCAAAGGTTTTCTATGGGGTTGAGATCTGGAGACTGGCTAGGCCACTCCAGGACCTTGAAATGCTTCTTACGAAGCCACTCCTTCGAAGCCCGGGCGGTATGTTTGGGATCATTGTCATGTTGGAAGACCCAGCCACGTTTCATCTTCAATGCCCTTGCTGATGGAAGGAGGTTTGCACTCAAAATCTCACGATACATGGCCCCATTCATTCTGTCCTGTACATGGATCAGTCGTCCTGGTCCCTTTGCGGAGAAACAGCCCCAAAGCACGATGTTGCCACCCCGATGCTTCACAGTAGGTATGGTGTTCTTTGGATGCAACTCAGCATTCTCTCTCCTCCAAACACGACGAGTTGTGTTTCTACCAAACAGTTCTATTTTGGTTTCATCTGACCATATCACATTCTCCCAATCCTCTTCTGGATCATCCAAATGCTCTCTAGCAAACTTCAGACGGGCCCGGACATGTACTGGCTTAAGCAGGGGAACACGTCTGGCACTGCAGGATCTGAGTCCCTGGCGGCGTAGTGTGTTATTGATGGTAGCCTTTGTTACGTTGGTCCCAGCTCTCTGCAGGTCATTCACTAGGTCTCCCCCGTGTGGTCCTGGGATTTTTGCTCACCATTCTTGTGATCATTTTGACCCCACGGGGTGAGATCTTGCGTGGAGCCCCAGATCGAGGGACATTATCAGTGGTCTTGTATGTCTTCCATTTTTTAATTATTGCTCCCACAGTTGATTTGTTCACACCAAGTTGCTTGCCTATTGCAGATTCAGTCTTCCCAGCCTGGTGCAGGTCTACAATTTTGTTTCTGGTGTCCTTCGACAGCTCTTTGGTCTTCACCATTGTGGAGTTTGGAGTGTGACTGTTTGAGGTTGTGGACAGGTGTCTTTTATACTGAAAGCAAGTTCAAACAGGTGCCATTGATACAGGTAATGAGTGCAGGACAGAGGAACCTCTTAAAGAAGAAGGTACAGGTCTCTGAAGGCAGAAATCTTGCTTGTTTGTAGGTGACCAAATACTTATTTTCCACCATAATTTGCAAATAAATTCTTTCCAAATCAGCCAATGTGATTGTCTGGATTTTTTTTCTCATTTTGTCTCTCATAGTTGAGGTCTACCTATGATGCCAATTACAGGCCTCTCTCATCTTTTTACGTGGGAGAAATTGCACAATTGGTGGCTGACTAAATACTTTTTTGCCCCACTGTAAATTTATTACAAGTATTCATGAAAACTAGAGAGAAAATGTGGCCCATTTTACGAGAAACCTGCCATGTACAATCTCCATTTCTCCATCTGAAGGAAATACTAGCAGCAACCACATAAGGAATAATGTAAAGCAACAAGAAATTAAACTTATCAAAACATGAGCATGTCGCGCTCCACTAAAAATAAGATAAAATTAAAGTGTGAAATATGAACATGCACAATTGGAGATATATATATATATATATATGAATTAAATAAATTATTAGAGAGTCCAACATTAGTTCAGCAGCATGATATTGCAATCCTACTAATGCTGCATGCTTGTCTTTAAATATTTAGTGACTATGGTGTGTCTTTTCACTAGTGTAAAAAAATAGGTATCATATAGTCCATCAATCTTTATCTTGTGTGCTCCTTCACCAGTTGTGCTCTCACCTGATGTATATGACCAAACCGTTAGGTAAGGTCAAAAACAGCTTGTGTCCCTTTAAATGGACTCAGATGAGTAGATAAATGTATTCCTATTCCTGGATGGATGAGTGGAGTGTTTCCCTTTTCCAAGCAGGGGGTCTCACTGCTTCCTAGAGACCCATTTTCTGGAGGCGGATGGATGGAGTTAACCCTCTTCCCACTAGGGGGTCTCTTCACTCCCTTCTGATTTTTCTCTCCATATGCATAAGTGCCATGTAATTAAAGAATAGAATACAGTGCCTTATCTTCTTTTTAAAATATTTCAAATATATAAAAAAAATATTAAAAAATGTAGTGCACTCACATGAAATATATTAAAATCACTTTCTGTGCAAAAATACAGGATCCTCAATATGTTTGCCACACTCCAATATACTTGCTGTGTAGTTGCCTTGCCACGTGACCTGGTGGTGTAACGTTTAGGGGAGGGGCTCTGGCGTCAGAACGCTTAAAGGCAACTACACAGCAAGTATATTGGAATGTGGTGGACACATTGAGGATCTTGTATTTTTGCACAAAATATGATTTTGATTTATTTATAGTGACACACCTGTATGAGTATGTGTATAGTGTAGGGGGCACACTCATTTATTTAAATATCTTACACACCAGTTTATTTAATATTCTTTATTTCTGCACATATTTCACTATTTTATAATATACTGAATTTTTAATTTTATATATTCACTTGATAAAAGAAAATCTTTTATAGGATACACCATAGTAGCTCACAAGAATAACGTCTCATAAAGAAATTAAACTTGCTGTGGAATTCCTAGAAAAAAAGTGTGCTTGGTGCATATACAGTGAAGGAAATAAGTATTTGATCCCCTGATGATTTTGAATGTTTGCCCACTCACAAAGAAATGATCAGTCTAAAAAATCGAATGGTAGGTGTATTGTAACACTGAGAGACAGAATAGCAACAAAAAATTCAAAAGAAATGCATGTCTAACAAATTATGCACTAATTTGCATGTTCATGGAGCAAAATAAGTATTTGATCCCCTATCATTCAGCAGGATTTCTGGCTACCAGGTGTCTTTCATACAGGTAACAAGCTGAGATTAGAAGCAGTCTCTTAAGGGGAGTACTGCTAATCTCATTTTGTTACCTATGTAAAAGACACCTGTTCACAGGAGCAATCAAACAATCAGATTCCAAACTCTCCACCATGGCAAAGACCAAAAAGCTGTCCAAGGATGTCAGGGACAAGATTATAGACCTACACAAGGCTGGACGGGGCTACCAAACTATCACCAAGCAGCTTGGTGAGAAAGGTGACAACAGTTGGTGTAATCATTTGCAAATGGAAGAAACACAAAACAACTGTCAGTCTCCCTAGGTCTGGTGTATCATGCAAGATCTCACCTCGTGGAGTGTCAATGATCATGAGAACAGTGAGGCATCATCCCAGAACTACATGTGAGGATCTTGTCAATGATCTCCAGGCAGCTGGGACCAGAGTCACCAAGAAAACAATTGGTAACACACTACGCCGACAAGGATTGAAATCCTGCAGTGCCCGCAAGGTCCCTCTGCTCAAGAAAGCACATGATCAGGCCTGTCTGAAGTTTGCCACTGAACATCTGAATGATGCAGAGGAGGACTGGTTGAAAGTGTGGTCAGATGAGACCAAAATCGAGCTCTTTGGCATCAACTCAACTTGCCGTGTTTGGAGGAGGAATGCTGCCTATGACCCCAAGAACACCATCCCAACTGTCAAACGTGGTGGTGGAAACATTCTGCTTTGGTGGTGTTTTTTCTGCAAAGGGGACAGGACAACTGCACCACATCAAAGGGACGATGGACGGGGCAATGTACCGTCAAATCTTGGGTGAGAACCTTCTTCCCTCAGCCAGGGCATTGAAAATGGGTCGTGGATGGGTGTTCCAGCATGATAATGACCCAAAACACATGGCCAAGGCAACAAAGGAGTGGCTCAAGAAGAAGCACATTAAGGTCCTGGAGTGGCCTAACCAGTCTCCAGACCTTATCCGATTGAAAATCTGTGGAGGGAGCTGAAATTTCAAGTTGCCAAATGTCAGCCACCAAACCTTAATAACTTGAAGAGGATCTGCCAAGAGGAGTGGGCCAAAATCCCTCCTGAGATGTGTGCAAACCTGTTGGCCAACTACAGGAAACGTCTGACCTCTGTGATTGCCAACAAGGGATTTACCACCAAGTACTAAGTCATGTTTTGTGAAGGGGATCAAATACTTATTTCCCTCATGAACATGCAGCAAATCAGTGCGTAATTTGTTAGAAATGCATTTCTTTTGAATTTTTTGTTGCTATTCTGTCTCTCAGTGTTACAATACACCTACCATTCGATTTTTAGACTAATCATTTCTTTGTGAGTGGGGCAAACATTCAAAATCAGCAGGGGATCAAATACTTATTTCCTTCACTGTATCTGCCTTGCTCCCCAGAAAGCTCTCTTTATTGGGCAGAAATGCTACAATCAACCCTATATAATTCGTTCCAGCAATCTCACCTCTTCTTTCTTCTTCTTGGGCTTGCTCTCTTCACCTGCAGCATGCTCAGTGTCTGAATCTGCTTTGCGTTTTCCATCCGATTTCTCTGACTCGTGTGCAGTTTTTTGCGATTGCAGGAACTCGGCAATCAGATCCGGACAGTCCAGGTTCTCCTCAGGCTCCCATGTGTTGTCCTCACTGCAAACACCAGAGCAATTGATATCCAATCTCCGTCAATAAAACATTTCATACAGTAGGACTGCAATTACTTTTCAACTTGTTACAGGCATTCTGTTAAACAGAAATGCACTAAAAACAAATTATCTTTTGAAGCAAATTTTAATGAAAAATATTTCTCTAATCCAAGTGTTGGTAGCATTATGCAGGAACTTCTGATACCCTACATGCCATTTTTAACAGAAGCAGCTTGGGTGTCAAGAAAGCCGAGGTACTCTGAGACGCAAATAATTCCCACATCTGGCATATAGTACCACTCCTCCCACCTCACCATAATGACTATGGCGCACTACTGCGATAGGGGCAGGCTCACTGCTCAATAGTGAAGTGTAGGAGTTGAGAATAAATAATCAATCAACCCAGAAAATAGGACTTGACAAATTTGCTTTGAACCTAGAAGCCAGCTAAAAAAGTTAGAAGCTAGTTTTTTTTTTTTTTTTTTAGCAAAGAGTGGGTTGTCAGAGCCCGTGGTAAGGCAACTTTTGAGCGACAAGCTTCCTGTGATGTGATTTAGCACACGACAATCAAGGCAAAACCGCACCACATTTTAGGTGCCATTGAAAATAATGGTACCTGAACCTGCACGAGACTGCTGAGAAGAGCACCATGTGCAGTGAAGGTAGAAAATAGCTAAAGTAAATCCTCAGCTCTATGGATTAATTTTGAAATGTACAGCTCAAGATGTGATCAGCTACCAGAGATTCAGTAGTAGTTTAGGTTTAAATAATCTTTGATCTTCCATGGCTTGTACAAACATCCTGAAAAGTCATGCAAATGACTGAGCCTACAACTGCTGAACATTAGCATGGCTGTCTGGTTCCTGCACTTTTAAACCACTGACCTGCAAGTAGCATGTATAATCGGGAAAGTCAAAGCCCTAACCTACATATACAGTCAGTACCTCATGAAACCTCCAGATCAACATGAACCAGGGAACTAGTACTTTCAGAAAGGGGAAAGCAATAAGCACCTTCATGCATCCTCATTACAAGTTTCCTTGAGAAATATAAGGAGAGCACAAGAATCATATCTGAAACAGGCAAAAGAGGAGTAGTGCGACAGCTCACAATAAATCTGCTATCTCTGACATCTAATGCTAAAATATAAGTTCAATAAAACACGCAGTTTCTTTTTCCTTTAAAGTAACCGTGAAAGGAACTTCTTTTGTTCTAAATTCTTTTTGATGAAAAGCAGCGTACTGTCTGTGCCAGTGCAATCTGAATTGATCCTAGGTCCCTTCCACATGAGGCAGACTTCGTCCCGATCAGCAGGAGATCTGCTCACAGATTTCCTGCTGATCAGAGCAGAGCGGGCAGATGATAGGTCCATGCCTGCAAAGCGGACACAGACACAGTCTGCTCTGCTATATGGGCAGCCAGGAGTAAACGAACTCTGCTGTCCGTTTACACCAATATTTATCATCTGATCCGATCAAACAGAAGGGGATAGATCCACCTGTCAATTGGGATGAACAGACAATCTGATCAGGTTCACCTGAAAAACTGACAGGTGGACCTGACCGGATATTCCATGTGAAAGGGGTCTAAAGCTGGCCACACCTGCAGGCTGAGCGGAAAAAAAAAATTCTAAGAGTCCTCCATCCACACTACACAAAACAGAATAATGAATCTCCTGACACAGATATTGTATTCTGAGAGCTGGCCCTGCCCTCTGTCAAAATACTCAAACGATGCCTACATCCAAATTTTCCAACCAACTCCTTTGAGTTTTCAATTGAGGGATGTACGGAAAAGGCAGCTGACAAGGCTACACACTAAGCAAGTTTTAATTGGGTTATCAGTAACTGGATGACATTTAAATAGTTTAAGTAAACTTATGGCACTGTGCCTCTGGCTGCTAGTCCCCAAAGATTTGAAGTGAGATCTGGTGAAGTCACTACTGTGCTACTCACTGTTCCTCCTTACTGGAGAGAAAGTTGTGCCTAAGCAGTAGCAGTGAAAGAATCTGCCCATTTTTACTTCATTCATACTGCAGTTCTAAGCTATCTGAACCATCTACTGCTGCTTCTTCACTGCTACCCCACCAGTAAACAGATCAACAAGGCATGGTAGTTAGTAATGGAGTAAAAATCAGCTGCAGGGAACCTACTGGCAATACCAGTCCCTACGCTCTCTGCGTGCCTTTTGTTGGGCACAGCTTCCACAGTTTGGATCCTCTTTAATGCAAATACTACAACAAACATGTACATGTTTGCTACTAGACAGTGATTCATAAATTAGTAAAGGATCAATACATAAAATGGGACTTGTGAAAAGCTGAAAAGTTTCTTTTTAAGGTACCCTTAGGGATGAAATGAACATCTTACCAAGACTCCTTTCACACTTGTGTGACTTTGGACATCAAAGTCACAGCCCATTCTTTTCAATGACACCCAAATTGGTGCAACCTAAAAACACAGCCATTTTGAAAAGGTGGCTGCACTACTTTGATGCAACTTTGGTCCAGAGAATGTTAAGTCGGATCAAAGTCGCACTGGAACTCATGCATTTGGAGACGTGCTAATGTGAACGGAACCTAACTGTTTTGAGAATGACTTGGCAACCACAATCTCTATGGCACCTGCACATGGCTGTGGCATGCTGCTGACTATAGATCAATAGTAAAGGACTGAAAACCGTATCCAGACCTTACTGTTCCCCGCAGAGCTGCTTGCCTCTGAAGACTCTCTCACCTCTTGGAACATAAACTCCGCCAAGCTTACATATTTATGGAGTATTCTGAAGGTAGCTTTGCCTTAAGGCAGCTGGATTGTGCTAGCATTTCTAAATCAGCTACCATGGGCAACTTACAGAAGGTTATTATGCACTGCAAGTCATTCAGCCATTACTGCATTGAACAGTGCTGTCATTCTTACACGTTTTCAGGACATGAGGTGATTAGGCGGCTTACAAAAAGAGTAGAGAACCTAGGAACCATGAACAATCATACTATGCAATAACCAGGAATGGGACCTGCGAAGCTGCAGGAAATATTATTTTTACCTTTTGGCTAAAAAAAAAAAAAAAAAAAGGTAACAAAAGGGGTAGAATTACAAAAATTAAAAGTATATACATTGCCTACATAAATGAATTACCCCTAGAATGTTTTCACATAAGTCATAACTGGTGCACCCAATGGTATTCCCAAGTCACACAATTAGTTAATTGGAGATCACCTGTGTGTTGTCACAAGGGGTTTCAAGTGATTGTAGTATAAATACACATGAATCTGGAAGGCCCAACTTCTGGTAAATCAGTATTGTAGCATAACCTACACCATGAAGACAAAAGAACAATTCAAACAACTCTGTGAAAAGGTGATTGAAAAGCACAAATCAGGTAATGAACACAAGAAAAAAAAGTTACTGAATATCCCTTAGAAGTAAACTCTAAGAATGAACTTCCCATAGTTTGTCCCTTTTGGTCTGTTAAATATACAAAGTGTTGATAAATGGAAAAATACCTGCAGATCCTGCCAAAACTACAAAACATCTCCCCTGTGTTATTGAGAAGGGCAGAGGGTTCTGTAGTTCTAACACCCTTCCTATCCTACGGTAACAATGCTGCTCTTCCATTGTCACCTTAGGACAAGAAGCGTGTTACCGATAGGAACGTCAAGTATAAATTGAAAAAACTATAGTAGCCATCACATCTATGGACTGGTAAATTTCAATACAATACAATTTTGTTCTTGGGTTTAGGCATACTCTAAATCAATCATGAATATAAAGGAGATTGTGGAACACATGTAAAACTGCAAAGAACAGGCTGCCTATCAAAAGTGAGTGCCTGTGCCAGCAGAAGACTAGAGAGGTCACCAAACGACCCATGACCACTCTGATGCTAAGAATACAGAACTGCTGCCCAGGTGCTTCATGAGTCAGAGCTTTATGGGAATACGTCAAAAGAAAGCCGCTGTTATTTAAAACATACAACCTCTCGCTCAAAGTTTGCCAGAAAGTACCTGGGAAATTGAATCTAGCTGGCAGAAGGTTCTACTGTTTGACGAGACCAAGATGATGAGCTGCCGCATATCAGACCATTGTTTGGGAAAATCCAAACTCTACTCATCATCATAAATGCACACTTCCCACTATGACATGGTGGTAGCAGCGTCATGCTTTGAAGATACATCTCTGCTGTGTGTCCAGGACTGCTTGCAAAGAAATAAATCCTGAGCCTAGGGAGAAGACTAGTCTTTCAGCAAGACAATGAACCATACATAAAGCCAAAACTACACAAGGATGGCTTATAACAACAATGGTAATATCCTTGAATGACTAGGAGAGTCCACACTTCAATCCATCTGAAAATCAGTATGAAATAATATGTAAATTAACCTGTTCTTGTGGTGAGGAAATATAGTGAGTCAAAATATAACTGCTGGATACCTATCTATAGTCCAATAATGGAAAATAGCTGTACTGTGAAGAAGGAGCATGACACCTTGGCTCTGTACAGTCTAGATTTGTACTTCATCTCACATACCTCGCCAAAACTGGAGAATGTTTTCTATGCATCATATACAGGATTAGGTTACCAGGACCCTGGTTTTAGGATTAACCTGGGGAGATGTACATGGGTTCTGCATGTTGCCGACAGTATTTCACGAAATCACCAAGCTTATGTGATCTCTATACAGGAATGCATTAAGGTGCTTTTCTGTGATACGTTGACACAGAACAGATTTGTGATTTTAATGGGTTAACTAAAACTGAAGAGTGCAAAATCTGGTGCAGCTCTGCACAGAAACCAATCAGCTTCCAGGTTTTATTGCCAAAGCTTGATTGAACAAACTGAAGTTAGAACTGGTTGGCTACCATGGACAGCTGCACCTGTTTTCGTAAATCTACCCCCAAATTGTATTGGTCTTCTGTAGTCTTTAAACAGGTATAATTTCTGTGGTCTATATCATCAGTGTAACAAAGCAAAAACAATCCCTACAAATGAAATCCATTCTGG